TAGTAGCATCACATGAATTTATCTGTCATTGTGGGGCCAGGGAACCTGCTTTCCTTCTCTAGCCTATATGCATGGCTCTTCATCCACCACAAGCTCTAAACCAGTAGTGCAGTTGTAGGTGTGATATGAGGTGGGTAAGCTTTGTAGGGAGAGTTAATCTTCTCTGTTAGGGAAAAAGACTGACTTGCAGACTTAAGGCTTTTCCAACCTTCTCTCTGCTCCTTACCCAATGGGAAAAAAACATGAAAGTACATAGAACCAAGCTTGATGCTAAGGAAAAAAAATAAAATACATACAGCAAAACAAAACAGGAAACTAGCTTATGTATAAAAGTCATGGCAGAGTGTTGCGCAGTAGCAAGAAAGGTGAACGATAAATTTTTTTTTTCATGAAAAGTAAAGCCCCTGAACACCACAGCTTTCCTAACTGCAATCGACACACATAGACACACACAGTACTTGTCACCACTGTACCCCTTCTTCCTCTCCATGATGTGTCTTGCATGCTAAAGTACTGGCGTGTATTTGGATGCTTGATCTTTGCTGGCCACTTTTGTAATCACATCAATATTATATTTCTCTAAGCTTAGAAAGGAACCCTGGAAAGGAACAGCTGTAACCTGTGTGTGCACAGGAGCACGCCAATTTTAATCTAGAGATGAGCAGAAAGGGGGTTTTGTCAAGCAGTTATTTTTCTCTTAAGGAACATCTGAAATGTTTCCTACCACAGGGGCAGAGAACTGCACAAGGGTAGGTTTCCATGGAAGCATCAAGCCTGACACTCGGGTAACTGCTGATAGGGCTTCTCAAGTGGTGCATTTCCCAGCACACCCAGATGTGCTGACAGGGCCAGGTGCTGGTGCGCCAGAGATCTGTTGCAGCCAGTCGATCTGTTCCAGCCAATAAACAGACCCTTTGCCCCACGCGAAGAAAAAAACCATGCATCCTACCAAAATAATGAAAGCCATCTAAACAACACACCCTTAAAAGGTGTAAGGACAGTTGGCACTTCAGGATTTCCAATTCCTCTAAACACTCATTTCTCCTCTTCTTTAAACAGATCCCCATGCTTCCTCAGCATTATTTCACTTGGGTCAAAACAACTGTCCTGCAGCTGCACTGAATGTTTGTTTCTTGTTCCACAGGGCAACAGGGAAGAGATGGGGAAGTTTTTGGAGAAACTGGCAGTGAGAAACCTGTACTGAATTAATATTACCAAAATATTTAATTTACTCATGACTGAAGCTGACTTTTTTGGATAATATTTTGAAATATTTGTCAACAAAGCTCATCAAGCCTGTTTTAGAAATGACATTTCAATATGCAGTTGGATAAAAATAATTCCCTTGATGCAAAAATGAATTTAAACTTCTATTTCTGAAAGAGGACAAAGTGTTGAGCCAGCTGGTGAAATTCAGAGACTCAAAATATTAGGGATTATTTAACCAGGTCTAATTAGCAAACCTAGATATCTTAAGCATTGAAGAAGAAACTATGACCACATAAAACCAAAAATCTCTTTGTGAAGTCTAATTATTCCTGTCCAAAATCAAAAGGTGTGCCAATCACTCAAAAACAAAGCCACCTAAAGCTGTTGCGTGGGCAGCTCTCCTTTGGTTTTGCAACCAGCAACAGACACTGCCATATGTCGCTGCGGCAGGTTACTGAGAGGATAAGGGCAATGTTAATTTGCAGCACTCTGCACTCCTATTAACATCCCTTGTCTAGCTTTAACTTGTTTGCCATGCATACTCTCTCTGGATGAGCATTATTCATCAACTGCCCATGCTGATTTTCTCCAGGCCAGGGTTGTTAGGGCAGCTGCTGGACCTTTCAACTACAGCTGGACCACTGTCCAGACATTTAGTTGTTGTCTTTAGAGGCATCTCCCAGAAAAGCACTGTCAAGCTGTTCTCACCCTGTGGATTGATTCAAAAACAGCAGATAAATTTTGCTTCCTTTTTTCCCCACCCAACAGGTGAGCCACCACCCCTATGGAGCAAACAGGCCTTACAGAAGGTTAGTGGCACTTTCCACTATAGGCAGCGTAACCAAATGGACCAGTAAAAGCTTTCAGCAGGCAATGGGAATGGTGTGATTCTCCAGAAGAGAAGTCTGTTCATTGCTTGGACAGCAATTCAAAATTGCATTTTCTTCCATCCCAGAAATACTTCACCCACTTGAACGCTACTTCTTTTTATTACGGAACTTGCATCAGCTGCCAAAATGGGTACATATGAAACTACTGTAACTCCTGTAATGATCTGTTATACAGGATATGCTAATTTGACCAGTACGTACGAGTAAAATTACAGTGGGGTTTCCAGCTGGAAGGGACTGCAAGCTAGCAGTTTATTATTTAAATGTATTGGGAGTAATTCAATCACAGGAGGCTGCTTTGACAATGCCTTCAGTAATCATCAACAACTACACAATGGCCCCTAACTACAGCAAAACAGTTTCCAGCCCTTTCAGATGGAAAACAAAGAATAAAACAAATCACAAACAAAAACCCCTCCACACAGATAGGAAAGCTCAACAATGGAATAAAGGGGAAACAGGATATCTGCAACAGGCTCAATGGCAGCCTTTCTCCCAAGCAAGTACCAGCTTTTTAAGTCATTGCTTCTACAGCAAATATGGGTGTGTGATTATAACAAACAAAAGCAGATAAATGCTTTCTTCTGCTTATGGATCCACTGGGAGACACATGGCCTGTGGTTTAATCACACTCTTTATTTGGGATTTCTACTTTTCTTCTGTCCTCACTCATTCCATCAACACTCCCGTGCACCCAGAATGAGAGAGAAGGTTGTTCCAAAATTTTTAGTTAAGCTTGTTTCATCTTTTTGATAGTGCTCCTCTCTTACTCTCCATACAGAAATGGAGCATGCCTCCAGAGCTGGGTCAGGAAAGCCTTAATGCGTGGGGCTGCAGAGAGGGTTTAAAGGGAAAAAGCGAGGGAAGAAATAATAAACCTCCTCAACAATATCCCTGACAAACCCAGCATCAGCAAGGAGGCAGAAATGACCATGTTCTGTGTCACTTGAAGTTTGCAAAGGCTAATGTACTGACAACTGCTATACCTAAATGTATTTGCAGGCAGAGAATCCGTAGCATCAAGATGTGTGATGATGCTCAGGTTTCCATGTGAAAAGGAGTCCCTCCTTAAACAGGAATGCACCCCTGCCATGAAACTGCTGGAAAAAGCAATCAGTCATGAATAATAGTCATAAAACCATTTTGATACTTAGCATTCCTCCCTGGACAATATCATTATACATGGCTTAAATAAATCACCCTAGCACACAGTTGCATCTTTATAATTTTCCTTAAAGGAAACTCAGGTAATTTTATTTTTCTTTCCTGTAAAATATATTTTATTTCATCTGCAAATCCAAGGAGCTGACTAATTGAGAAAAGCCAAATTTAGAGCTGGTTGGGAAACTCCAAGTCCAACTGTGGGACATTTCATTGCCTCAGAGATAGGTTTTCTACAAGATCCATCACTTATTCTGGGGAAGATCTGCAAAAAGGAGGTGGAGGGGATGGAGATCACCAGTTTAGTGGCAGCTCACATACCCTTCAGCTTTTCAGAACTTTACTAGAAAAATAGCATTTACATTGCAAAGCCATGTTGTGCCGATGCAGATCCAGACACACAACACACAAGCTAATTAACACCAGCCTGCCAGCTGCACCAGAAATTACAGCAGTGACCTGGGTAGCAATACCACAGACCCAAATCAGACTTTTTCACCCCTCACTGATGAAGACAGGCCAGATGAGGCTTTTAGCAACCTGGTCCAGTGGAGGGTGTCCCTGCCCATGGCAGGGGGGTTGGAACTTGATGATCTTTAAGGTCCCTTCCAACCCAAACCATTCTATGTTTCATTAGGCTCTGATGTTAATGGTGACATTCTTCTATTCTGGATGAAGTCTGTTCCAGTGCTGACTGATACCTTTCACACTGACTGAAGCTACAGTTACCCCAGGGGCCTCTGACAGCCAATATCAGCCAAGCAGAGGAAGCATCACCCCTACCCATGGGCAGAGCTACTGGGTGAGGTCTTCCTGCAGCCCCTGGGGCCAGAGCAGGTAGGGTTTGAAGAAGTGGGAATAAAAAAAACATTTTCACTGTTTTCTGACTAGTGGGTAGTCTGATACAGATTGCAAGTGACAGTGCAACATGGGTGTTTATGTGCCTGTGAGAAGGAAGAGGGGAGCCTGAATGAAATCTGACAGATGTGCTGCTGCGAGGAAGATCCAGAAACTCTTTGTAATTAGAGAACACACACACACGGTCTCTTCTGCAAAGTGCCCTGCAAGACAGGAGCATAGCTATTTCAGTGACAATAGCGGTGACATGAGGAGTCAGCTCTTTCTAAAAGCATCCATAAACCAAGGAAGCAATAATTAGACTCTCAACCAAAAACTGCACCCTGCCGCTGCTGCTTGCAGGCCTCCCCCCATCCCCTGAGCAGCATCACTCAGGCGATGCAGGAGCAAAACAGCTCTTGGAACAAGGCTTTAAAGAGAAACTGTCGTGTGGTTTAGGTCTGCCACAGGGCTGGTGCTTTGGAATTGGGGGTTTGAGTGCTTCCACTTCTCCAAACTGACAAAATTAGTGTCGTGTGATGGGCAGGATCCCAGTGCGCAGCGTCCTTAAAAGAGAGTTTCCAGAGGCACACAGGGCTGAAGGTGCACTCTGTAGCCATGGCAAAATTCTTCAAGAGACATCTCTAAAGACATACAGCACTGCAAGATGAGACTATAATCACTAGGACTGTTCAACAGGCTGAGTAATTTTAAACACAGTGCTTGAATTTGGGATGGTTTTTCAAGGAAAGCAAAATGAATGAATGCGTGAATGGGGTGATTTTACAAGCAGCAAATAGATTATTTAATTCCGGGCAGCAATGCCATGTGCAGCCTTTAGCAAAAAACTGAGCAACTTCATCTGAGTGGAGGGATTTGTGGTTGTCTGTCTGTCCTACTCACCGGGCACCACTCCTTTGATGTCGCTTTCTGTGTTCATCCTGTTCTTGTGCGTGAACTGAAGGATCAGTTCCTTGGATGCCTCGAACTGCTGTGTAGCCATCAGCCACCGAAGGGACTCTGGGAAAATACTTCAAAGATGGAAAACATGTTAGGGTCACTTCCAAGTTTCTGTCAGAGGAAGAACTGACAGTGTTTAGCTGCTCATTTAACCGTTTATGAGCTACGTAATTATTTTCAAAAAGCAGAAGTATCACTTACAAAACAAATAAGAGGGAAAACAGATTCAGAACGTGCAAATTAATGAATTTTTCTTTTACACTGATTCACAAATGATACAGGAACTATCCTATCACCTAGAAATAGGACATTAGAGTTTTATAACATATTAGAGGTGTTCTGCCCATTAATACAATTTTGAAAGAGCTGGGAGAAGGAGGCATCACTGCCTGCAACAGACATTTGCTGCCAAGCAGGCAATGAATGAGACGTGCAGTTAGCACATGGTAATTCAGACTAAAGAAGGAAAATAGCTGTCAGAAGTGATTTGGATTCTCTTGTAAAGATGGAGAGAGGAAAGAGAATAATTACTTTTTAGGACTATAATGGAACAGATTTTTAAAATTTCTGAACATGTCAAAAATCTTCTCCCACATATGCAGACTTTAAGCCTTTCTTTCATACAGGTCAGTATTGTGTATGCTCCCAAAACCATTCAGTTGTTGCTCTAAAAGTTTCCCCTAGTAAAGACAATATTATGTTAGTTGAGCTGCCTTAAAAATATACACATGCACAAAGAGTTACAAAATAAAAAAGTTTATTTTCCATCCAGTTGTTCCCTTCAGGTGCTGATATTCACCTGAGTCATTAGCTTACCTGATCAGTCATTTTTTTCAGATGAGTTTATTTTAATACAAAAACAAAAGAAATATGTAGATATTAAAACAAACAGACGAGAACTCCCATACTTCTATAGATATGAAAACTCTCGTATCTGACTCCAAGCATATTTTTTTTCTTGTTTAGGCTTCATTTACACTGATCTTCCAAAAGACCTTTCTAGGAACAAATTTAACATCTACTTTTAACTTAAAATATACAAAAAACCACAAATTTCCTTCACAAAGCACTAATCTTTGCTGTGGATGCTGCCTCAGTTCTTATACTTCTAAGCAGTGAACCAGGCAATTGTACCATTATGGTACTATTTTTTAAAGCTGATGCAATTTGGAAGACAGCTTAGCAAGACCTCCATCCTAGATAGAGAAAGTATTTTTCGAAGAAAAATAGGAAAAAAAGGAGAGAAGTCAGGCAGACTGCAATCCAAATTATATCAGGCAATAAAAATATATAACAGCCGTGATGACAACTATTCAGTTTGACAGCTTATTTACTACCACTGGTGCTGCACAGATGCTTTGGCATATCCTTCTGCAGAAAGTCCTGCACTGCAAATGTGTGTTTTGAAAAATTAAGAATTCTTTGAATAGAAAATTTCCATGCGCTTCCGGCTCCGGAGACGGGACAGCCTCAGCCACTAGAGTAAAAACTGCACTTTTTGGAACAATCTGCTTACAGGTCCCAAATGACATGTTCTGTGGGGAACACCTACTCCTAGGGGAAGGACGAGAGCCGCAGGGAGGGGCATCGTCAGGAAAAATGCTGTCTCTGCCTTCCAGCTCCTGCAGGCTTCTCAAACTGAAAGTACTGAAGCCTCAAGTCTTTCAGCTGCTCCATTAGTCAGTGTGAGCAGTGGGAGGTTCATTTAAGGATCTTTAAAAATTCCTGGGCTGCTTTGAGCCCAGGCTACCAGGCACAGCAGGGGGGAAGTACTGGTGCCTGAGCTCACTTGTGGAGCATGGACCCTGCTGCTAAGGGTCATCCATACACACCTACTGTTGCACCT